GACAAAAGAGTACTTTAGACTCCTACGTATAAAATTTCAGGATCCTTCTGTGAGAACACAATTTGTCTTTGTGGGAGAATGCGTGTACACATCTGTGTGAGTGCACATGTGTGTGATGGGGATGTTATTGAAAAGATAGACAATTCCCATGAACCATCTGATGGCTACTCTGCTGTACATGTTTTAAAGATGAAACAGTGGAACAAAACCAGAAAGAAAGAGCAACAAACATCATGTCTTAGAACAAAAAGAATGATATAGCTTATCAACATCACTATACTCCCACTCTTTTGAGTCAGTGTTCCTTTATGTCCTCTAGGGACTATAGAAGTGAAATGCCAGTAGAGTTTTATGCAAAAACTCAGCTTGAACTAGGGAAACCTTCAAATTGCAAGTGAGCTTCTAAACATATGATCCTCCCCTCTATTCAAAGCTTATTATTGTTAGCAGCAGATCCTAGGGGCCCTAATCATGCACTAGGCAAGTTACAAAACACATAGCAAAAAGATGGCCCCCGCTCCAAACAGTTTAAAATCTAAGTAAAACAAACAACAAACCATTTCCTCCTATGCTGTTTTTAATAAGGCTTTTAATAGTTTCTACAAATCTAGCCTGTTTGTTTCTATAATCCACAATTTATCTCACATTAAATGAACTACCTGTATAACTATCACAGCTGTAAAATTAACATATCAAAATCTACTGTGGATTCTAGTCCACTGAATTTATTTTTACCTTGGACTTTATTGTTCAGTAAGTTTTCATACAGCACTGCGAGCGATCTGTTTTAAAACATGACAACTAAAGCTAGCTGAAAAAGAGTTCCACAGTGTCTGCTCTTAAAGCATGTTTTTTAAAGTTATGTGTCCTGAATTGTCTGGTTCAAGTGACCTTCAGCCGCAAAAGCCCCAAAGGTACGTTTAATCAGAGACAACTGCATCTGAGGCACCTTAATCTGACACACTTTTAGATACATATAGGGCCCGAGCTTTTAATCTTTTTTAAGAGCTTTTAATCTTCGTTTCACTAGACAAACGAAGACTCCAAAAATAGCTCAATGGAGTTCGAAAATCCAGAAAATAGAAGGGAGTTAGTTAAAAGTTTCATTCTCTCATTAGCTTTTGTAGGCAACAAAACTCCTGGAGCAAAAAAGCACGGGCTGGTTACCCATGAGAATGAACCCCGAACAGACCTTTGGCACCTCAGGCACACTCTTGAACAAATGGATTAAAAATCTTCTCAGAATGACGTTTGTAGCTATAAAAGCAATGCCCCCCCAAAGACCCACATCAGACATCTCCAAAGGCCCCTTAAAAATTTATGGAGAATTTCACAATGCCTCGAAATGTACAGCTGCCACTTATTTTGCGACCCATTCCTAAAAAACTATATATACAAACTATCAACAGCATAGTGTATACATTTAATAAGGGAAATTCTTGGTTATCAAAAAATTGCAGGAAGCAAATCATGCATAAAGCAAAATATGCAAGATTATCAATAGCTGACAAGGTGTTTATGGTATTTATCACCCCTTGCTATGATTTGTACTTTAACTACAACATGAGTTACAGGGCAACCATATTACCACTCCACAGAGTTGTTAGATACTGTTGTTTCTCTGCTACACATTGTATAAATAAATGTCAAATGTTATAGGAGCAGTTCACAAGAGTATCATTCATGACAGACATGGATAAAACACTATGAAAACATTATGTACAGTTAAAACTAGCATAATAGCCACATCAGATGTAAAAGTTCCTGAAGTGCGACATTTATTATATGCAGAGCTGGTACCATTACTTATTGTTAAGGTTGCCCAATACTTCCTATTATTAGCTCCTGTTTTCAGTTGCTTACAGTTTTGCTAAACATTAACAACTCTTCAGGTTGAAATTTCCATGCCAGGTGTCTGCCTTAGGCTGATTTTATTTTATTTTAAAAGTTTCAGCAAAAATGGTTCAGTCATCTCCGAGAATGAAATTAGGAGTAAGGTATTTTGCTCATGTTAAAAAAAAAATTCTTCCTCTTATTGAAGCTCTAGGTCCTCCATTAAGCTTTGGAGGAGGGTCTTGAAATTTGCTCACAGGAGGTCTTGAATGAAAGCCAGAGTCACACTGGTCATTAATATTGCTGGTGAAACGGACATACAGATACAGGGTAAGGAGTTATATATGTATCCTGAAAATATGTTCTCATATGGAGAAACAGGTTTCCTGTCAGATAAAAATGCTTATTCGCCTGTCTCTCTGTTGGGACGTAGACTAAGCACTGCAAACTAACACAGTGGAGACACATTTACATGCAAAGTCAACAAAGGGATATGAAGTCAACAAGGGCGAGAGAGTGGGGAAACCTCGGGTAAAAACTTATCCTTGATTTCACAATAAGCATATCTCAATGTTGTGGTAATAAGCAAAGTGCTGATCCTGAAGTGAATCATATCATCTGATGTGTATATTGTCCCTTGAGGACAGCAGACCTGCTATTTCTGTGAGTGTTCAGTGGAGAAGGGGCTGGAGCCCGGACATTAAAGAGGAATGTTTCAAAGGGACTCAAGTGCATTGTTTGTTAACCTGCAAGGCAAAGTCAGGGCTGGCATTGCCCAAAGGAGTGACTGGGTGGCCAACAGGCTAGTGGTATCAGGGAGCTGATACTCTGTTAAGCACAACGAGTTTCTCTCACTGGATGGCACACAGTGAGAAGGTGACTCACAGTCCTGGGTACCCTGAAAACCATCACAGGATGTTTCAGCCATAGCATGGAATGAACCAGAACAGACTAGTGCCACATAAAAGGCAGAAATCAGTACTGTGTAGAAGGGTGAATAAAGAAATACACAATGAAAAATAACTGAAAAATAAAAGTGTGGCTCTCATGACTAAATGCCCATGAATCAAATAAAACTATTCTAACATTTATCATTTTCTTTTAAAATAACACAGCAAAACAACAGCTCTTTACATGATACCATTTCCGAACAGATACACACAGTGCTAATAGAGTGATACAAACCAGACAGCAGAATCAAAGCTACTTCATGACTGATGTACCCCAAAAGGTAGTCTGGATACCAATTTAGTACCCAAATTCATGGAAGCATTTTTCTTGGTTCTGGGTGATCTCTGGTTTCTGTTATTGAATGTCACCAAAACACACATACATTTCTTTCAGAGTAGCAGCTGTGTTAGTCTGTATCCGCAAAAAGAAAAGGAGTACCCGTGGCACCTCAGAGACTAACAAATTTATTAGAGCATAAGCTTTCGTGAGCTACAGCTCACTTCATCGGATGCATACAGTGGAAAATATAGTGGGGAGATCTTATATACACAGAGAACATGAAACAGTGGGTGTTACCATACAGATTGTAACAAGAGTGATCAGGAAAGGTGAGCTATTGCCAACAGGAAGAGGGGGACGACCTTTTGTAGTGATAATCAAGGTGGGCCATTTCCAGCAGTTGACAAGAACAATGGGGGGAGGGGAGGAAAATAAACAAGGGGAAATAGTTTTACTTGGTAATAGCTCACCTTTCCTGATTACTCTTGTTACAGTCTGTATGATAACACCCATTGTTTCATGTTCCTGTGTATATAAGATCTCCCCACTATATCTTCCACTGTAGGCATCTGATGAAGTGAGCTGTAGCTCATGAAAGCTTATGCTCTAATAAATTTGTTAGTCTCTGAGGTGCCTCAAGTACTCCTTTTCTTTTTGCGGATACATTTCTTTATACAGCTGCATGAAAGAAAAACCTTTGCAAGAGAAACCTATTCTGCTCAAAAAAGGAAAACTACAGTGAAATGCACAGCATGACAAACTATTTTAATATAACAACATTCCTTGGATGAAATCAAAAACATGTTGTATCAAATTCCTTCCGTAACCAATAATCCATTAAAAAAAACTCAAAACGAAAAAATTGATGATGTTTTGAATTCTTGTGTGCTGAAATTCTTATAAACTGGGGAATTGATTTCAATATGTTGAGTGGATAGGGAGTTGTGTGTATCACGGCATGGACTAAATATTATTACAGTTGAATTTTTCAACAATAAAAATCTATGTACAAAAAGCCAGAGAGCTACTTGCATTTGGCACAAAGTTTTCTAGGATGACACAAACTAAGCTTCTAACACTCCATTATTTATTTTGCTCAATAGAAATTCCTGTAATAGAACCAAACGAATAATCCACAACTAATAATTTATTTCAAAGAATTTTGTTGCTATTCCAATTTCCCTAAAATATATGAACTATTCAAAACTATTTTTTAAGAATATTGTTCACTTGTTGTGATTGGTCAGAAGTCACCCTGTATTGTTTCTGGCTGGAGAAGCATAATCCTTGTCAGATTTCTGGTAAAAATACTGACCCGAAGAAAATTTTAAATTCTCTTTCCAAAAGCAACAAAGCTCAATTTCTTCTCTACAAACATTACATCAATAAAGGGTCAGACTGCAGGCGCAAGCCCAGTCATGCAAGGCAATAAGTGGGTGTAAGGCACCCATGTTTCAGGTCTCCCATGTTCCATAATTCAGAATCAGACAGCAGCGTAGGGGAGAGCAACCTCTGTGAGGCTGTTATTTCCTCTCCACTATTCCCCACCCAAGGAGGAAGGATTTAGTGAGAGCCTTGGTTCCACCCACTCAACGAGCCAACAGCATAACTACCTGATGTATGCATCAGGTAGAAACCTAACCTAGTGCAGGGTACTTCCTTCCTATCACATTAAGGTGGAAATGGAAGGCAGACTGTGATTGGGACAATTCACTACTCCTTGTCTGGAACTCACGTCAAAGCCATAAGTGAGGCCAAAAGGTTCATGGAAAGCAAATACAAGGGAGGAACTAACACAGCTCAAGTTAATTAGTTAAAGCATATAAATTTGCTTTGAGCCCTAAAAAGTTAAGTGAAGGAAGAATGGCTGGAGTAATATGGAATCTTAAAACAAGGACTAACGAGACCTCTAAAAAAGGTTCACAAGTTGAACTCACCTCTAAAGTCTGCATTAGTGTTGGCTTAATTGCATCCTTCATCAAAACTGCCAAAGCACCTGTTACTCCCTAAAAAACAAGAGTGCACATTATAAGAATCCCTATTTTACACCCATTCAAACAGTTTAAGTTTAATGAGTTTGAAATATAAAACTTTAGTTCTAAAGGGAAAACTGGTTCACAAAAAAAGGGAAATGTTTTTCACTGTACACATTGTAATACTGTGCAATCACCATTATAAGAGAAATCTATTTAGATTTAGTTACTTTATGGCCTTTATTACAATAGTATCAGAATGCCTCACAAATATCAATGGATTTACCCTCAAAACATCCGCGAGAAATATGGTAGAGAAATATTTTTTCCATTTCACAGAGAGAGAACTGAGACAGAGAGAGAAACAGTGATTAGCCCAAGGTCACTCACAGGAGAGAAAGAACAAAAATGGAGAGGAAAGAGAACGAAAGTGTAGGCCCATCAAGAACACTAAGAAAGGAAAGGACAACAAGCTTGCCAATACTACACAAAGAAATGAAAGACGTACTTCGCTCATGAGAGAATGGACATCAGTAGCATGGGTTTCTAGGTACAAAGGTGGAGAAATGAACTGGTAGTCTCTGCAAGATCTATATAATCATATGGTTGAGAAGAGAATGTAAATAGATACCATGAGATTGCCTCTCATTTTTATTCCCCTGTACTAACTGTACAGAACTCCTCAAACAGCTCTGCCAATTAATCTACATTTGAACCAACAGGCCCAGCAATGTAAACCCTGAAAATAATACATTATGAGGCAATTTTGCAATAATTCCTATTACTACCAATTTGCATCAAATTAATTTTTCACTTGTAACATCAGATTTGAACCCAGGTCTCCAGAAGAGAAAGGAATAATGTATGATACTTTTCCTCTGGTAATAATGAATTAAGGAAACTGAGGCCACACTTTATGATTTCTTTGTTAAATATTGCCATGTTGTAAGTCTCTCTGTTACAAGAGTTTAAATATCCAGTCATCACAAAATGAACTACACTGAAATGGGATGAGACAATGGTAATGAGATAATATATTTGTCCTTTGTCTATGGATTAATACTGAATAGATTTTCAATTGCACATTACTTTCTTAAAAAAAAAATCTTGTTTACATATTGGGGATCAGAAACAAAGAAGCGCAAAATTCCGATGGTTACCAAAATGGATATGGGTCTATCATTTCTCGCATAGAGAGAGAAGGTGCTATTCCATCTCTGACTAACAGTCTAATGATAAACACAGAGACACATGAAATAGACATATTAAAAAAAAATCAGATTGTCACCACGTCTCACTGTTCCTTTTCATACAGCCACAAACCCACCAAAATAACATATTGTAGCTAAGAACAGGTCATTTATTTTAGACAAAAAGAAAAAAATTGAGATGAAATGCCATCGAAAAGTCAGCATCAAGTTAAGTACTCAATCAACTAGTGTACCATAATGCTATATTCTGAAAGTTTATAAACCTTCATTTTCACTTCTATACTTTATTTATATATTTTTCCTCTTTATTGCCCCCAAGCTATTCAGTAAAAATGACTGATGATGCCATTGCTTTAGATTCCCTATATTCTGGACATTTAAAAAAAAAAATTGTAAAGCGTAGATTTTAAAGGATATTAGATTTTTCATCTGTTCAACATGACTTTACTTGCTGTACAAGGAAACAACTTGACTCATTTCCAAAACCTGAAGCATTTACCAAACAAAACTTGAAGCACTGAATTCCCCACCCCAAAGCCTAACAATTTAAAATTAAACTAAACATTTCTCATTTTTAGCAATTTCTCCATTAAATCTCAGGTTACTGAATTGTGAGATTAGAAATCAAATACAGAACATGTCAAAAATTGCTCTTCCTAGTTAAACAAGCGGACATTTTAAAGTCATGAACATAAAAGCCTGTTGTTTTGCCAATGCTGCACACTATGGCCACTCAGAACACTACAGTAGTAAGTTGGGGTAGAATTCTCATTCTCCCATTCCAAAAGCGCAGTCCCCTACCATTTGAACTAATGTTGGTTGTTAGCCGCATAGGGACTATGATACACAGCGGAGCATTTCAGATTCCACCTCGTGAAAAGCAGTGCAATACATACATGCTAGACAGTACATTCCAATAGTAAAAACACTGCCAAAAAATGAAGGTAAGGACTTTAATTAACACAAAGACAAAATTTTGTTCCTATGATGCAATTCTTTATGCCATCACACATTGTTTGCCACTTTCATAGGTAATGGAACCACATTTATTTAACCTGAATCATTACCCCACGCCAAAAGAAACAAGCACACACTGATATTTTCAGAGAACGAATGGAAAAATATTCGTATTGCAATGCTTTGTAGAACTAACCAAGAAGCACCCCTCCCCACATTCCCACTGGCAATATGTTTCAAGGTGGTTCAAAGCCGAGAGTTTGTTTGACTCTTGACTGAGTTTAGATGACTTAACAATGCTACTGAATTAAAAAAAAAAAACTAGTTTACACCTCCCAATTTGCTTGTAAATTTCTTCTCTTCCTCTCAGACAAGAACCTGGCCACAGTGATCCATACATTTGTCAACTCTGGACTCGATTTCTGTGTCTGAAGCTCAATGTGATGATAATGTAAAGCCTCTAGCTGGTACATAATGTGTCTGCCCACATTCTCCATGGATTAGACCACCATGAGTACCTCAGATCTGAATGGTTACTTCTCCACCAGCTTCCAGTTCACTTCCAAAGCCAATTCAAAGTCTTGGGCCTAATCTTCAATACCATTCATGGATCAGGTTCCAGCTACATTAGAGGCCATGGAGAAAATTTTACTAAAGCACTTCAGTGACTTAGAATCTTAAGTCCCAGTTTCAAAAATGACTTAGACATCTAGGAGCTTAAGTCTTCAAGTGCCTATGTCTCTTTTGAAAATAGGAATGAGGTGCTTTTGAAAAATTTACCCCACATTTCCATTTGTGAGACACTGAGGCAGTTGTGCTCCACCGAGACAATGCCTACTACAAAGTGCATGAGAGCTTTATCCAAAGCACCCTCAGTTGAGAAGATCTGGCTTTAGAGAGGAGGTTGGACTGCATGAAGCGCATTAGGAAATGAGAAAGCTGATTTACAGATTTTAAAGACATTTCAAGAACACTGACCATAGGGCAGAGAAGAACAACAGAGGGTTCCCTAGGAGGAAATTGAGTAACTGTGACTTTTCTTTGTTCCAGTCATAACAATACCAAGTGTGGGATACATTTTTCTGAAGTTTTAGTACAGTAAACTGTTTATTAAACACAAAAACGTTGACTGTCAATAGCTGTATCTGAGTAGTCCCACTGACTTCAACAAGACCTGTTTGTGCTTAAAGTTAAGCATATGTGTTTTTGACGGACTGGGGCCTAAGTTTGCAGAAAAAAAATATTTGGGCTATAAAGTACTTATAAAATAAAAATGACACTGTAAATCTAATATATTTTAATAATTGTTAAAAAAAACTTGCATAATAACCTGAGAAGCTTCTTTTACTAAACAAATAGCTACATATTTGTTTAATATTATTCACGGCTGCTGAAATACTAAACTAGGGCATACCCATTTAATTTGACATGGAGATATGATACCTGTCCATCAAGCTTCTACTATATTATAGCAGCCAAAAAAGAAATTTAGCCTTCTGAATATTGTACAATGGACCTCACATTTTAGCAAATAATTCTTTACGTTCCATTACAGATGCTAGATATTTAATTCATTACATTTGTGGAAGCCGTCTTCTCAATTCATGAAATATTTAATTTCTCTCTACTTCTTCTCCTGCTCCCCAACCTGCTCTGTATCTGGTTTCCATCTGCCAATGTATATTTTAGGTTTTATTATTGTATTATCATAAATATGTGGCATAGAAGGATGAAATTAAGAGCAAGTGCATTTTTGTACAGAGTATTAAACATTATTCACATCCAGAAACAAATGAAAGAGACAGAGGATTAATGGTTTAGATTAACGTAAATTAAATAATGAACTAGAAACTATTTGTCAAAATATCATTTTAATGTATAAAAATAAATTTTGGGCAACAGAAATTCGTGGAATTTGGTTTATCTATACAAATTCTAGGCGTGGCTGGTAGTGTTGCCTATTATTAAGGTTGCCCATTATAAAAACCCTGCTTTCAGTTGCTTATAGCTTTGGAAAACTTTACCTGTTCAGGCAGAAATTTTCCATCCTGGGTATCTGCCTCAGGCTGAAATGTATTTTATTTTATTTAGTCAAATTTAAGCCAGAACAGTTCAGCCATTTTTGAGAATGAGATTATTGAAAAATATGATGCTTTTTGATGTTAAAAAATTCTGGTGACCGTCTCTTTGAAAAGCTCTAACGTTCCAAGGCTTTGGGGCGGGCACTTGAAATCTGGCAAGGGGATAGACCTGTGTGTCAGGGATGTGCCTTTTGCAGTCTCTGTGAAAAACTGTCCACATCTGGCCAAGTTACAAGCTTTCAAAAAATCAGTTTAAACACGCTCTGCAGAGACTTAGGATTTTAGCAGCTAAATGCTAAACTGAGCAATGGGGAGAAGGGGTGGAGAGGAGCAAGGGGGGAGCGGGGCCCTGGGAGGGGGAAGGAGCGGTGCGGGACAGTGCCTTGGGAGGAAGGGCCACGGCTTGTGCGCTGATTGCCTGCCCCCTCCCCCCCCTTTTTAGGAAACTTCCACTGCTCCTGAGGCCAGGATGTACTGTCTACTCATGAAAAACCTGCTAACTGCTATTATCCACTTAGGATCCCACAGGCCAAAGAAGAGAAAAGAAGGAGGATTTGTATAGATGAAGGGATACAAGGCAGACATCATAAATGTACGTACAGTGTAGAGTGTTGGCTGCTGACAACATTCTGGCTATTTATGGGGTTAGGATTTGGTGCCAAGAAAAATGTTTATATACTTCTTTCACAGCTGAAAGTGGGAAGGGGCAATTTAGCAGACAACCTGGATTGCTGGATGGATGCTTGAATAAGAATAACCAATGTGTGTCCTTAAAAAACAGATCTTGCAGATGTGTAAAGTTAATTCTTCACAAACATTATCACTAACCTCAGTTAAGAACATTTTTTTTAAAAAAGATTACTGCTACAAGTATTCATCAGGCAGCCACCACTGTAATATTTGAGAATACTATAGAAGTACAATAGCAAACATTACCACCTGAAAAGGAGCTCCTTCATTCTCTGTAGCATCTAATTAGCTTGCCTTAGAGATGTGGAAATCTACCCAAGTAGCTTATGTGACAAGTGGTTTCAAAGCAGAGTTACCAGAAGGCTTGGACAAAGGTAAGTTTACATCCTGTTCCAACTGTGGCCAGATTATGGATCAAATGGGCCTAACCCTTAAAGCCCTACAAGCATTGTTAAAAACAAACTAAAAGATAGTGTACATCTGCCATTTTACTGATTCAGCAGCCAAAGCAAAAGAGTCAGGAGTTATTCACAGGGCTTTTCTACCGTACATACCAAATCCTCAGCTGTCACTGGTTGTCCATTTTTGTCATTAGCCACCACCATTTTTCCCAGTCTCTCTTTCATGTCTGCCAGGCTGGTGGTCAGTGCTAAGATTGCCATGATTTCACTTGCAACAGCAATGTCAAACTGAGCCTACAAAGATAAAAGTAAGAGTAGTAAACCACACCAGAAGCAGGCAAGAGAATACTTTCAGAGCAAAACTAAAAGAAATACGATATGATTATTACCTTGAGAGTGAAATTTAAAAAGTTCTTAACTGTTATTAACAACACCTAAGATTATTTAAACTGAAATAACTAACAGTGAATAGGAAATTAGATGTTTAAAATGATAAGATTTTGGAGAGTTTCTTGTTTTGGTTTTGGCATTTCACTCATTTGGGGACTCAGCACCTTGCTGGACTGAACCCCTCAACTGCTACTTCCTTTAATGGGAGTTCAAGTTGCTGAACCAGCAGGCCCTTGTGTGGTCAGTGAAACAACACTGGTCAGTTTCACTTTCCACATCACATACACTGGCACAAGTGCCTTTATATTTGGGTTTAGAATATTGGTCAGGGATTTGAATATTTAAAAAATCCTCTATTTCATGAAGATATATTCATATTACATTCTGTAATTTTTAATTTACAAAATTCTGAATTTGGGGGGTTAAACTACTGGACAATGTTCCTTTAAAATAGTATTTTCTTGGATTTAGCATATAAAACTTGTGTTTTTTTCTCCTCCTGGATTAACATGTAAGTAACTTTAAAAACACAGGAACTTTGTGCAACACCAGTCCTGTTGCTCTTGTAGAAATAGATCTATAAACTGCAATACTTCTTTAGAAGGATTCAAACTAAACCCCTAACAAGTGAAGTATCTCATTGACGATACTTAGACCAGGGATTCTCACAACAATTTGTTTGGTGGCCTCAGAGTGCGGCCACCAACTCTTGCTGGTGGCCACTCTGACAGTTTTCCTAAAATATTTGATTAACTTTAGGAAAAACAAATACATATGCAAGTCCAAATCGTTGTAATTTATTTATGTAGGATTTTTTTTTCAGACAATAATAAAAATAATGTACAGTTGTCTCTATTCTTTACCGGACCTACACAGAAAGAACGTGCAAAGCACCTTATTTGTGTTCCTGGTCTTTTTTTCTTGTTGTTTCTTTGGTTGCTTTTTTAAAGACTTGCTAGCTACTAAGAAAAGTGATATTAAGAAACATACAAATATCACTTTTCATAGAAGACTAACTCAGCCCCGGCAAGCCTGGGGACAAATTAAGCCTTGGATGGGGAGGTGGGTATGGAGACAGCGGGGGCCAGTGGCAATGGGGCACTGGGAGAGGCAGCAAGGGCCAGGGGTGACGGGGGGCGAGGAGGAAGAGAAGAGATGAGCTCAGGGCCAGAGCCTGCTGCCGGGCAGCCAAGGAATGGATCCTGAAGCCCCACGGCTGGAGCCTGCCACCCACCACCCCAGGGCTGAAGCTCGACCTCTCCTCCCCCCCCACCCCCCAGCAAGGTGAGGAACTCACCTATTCCTCCAGCTTTTGTCTCCCCAGAGGGGGGCAGGGCTCAATCACTACTGGCAGCCGCAGAGAAGGGGCTGTTGCTTTGTGCCCCCCCACCCTCCCCATCACTGCCAAGGAGGCTGTGGCTGCAAGAAAAGCCCAGCCGCATTTGAGAAACGCTGACTTAGACACCAAAGTGACAGGCACTTTGTAAATACATTAGGCCCAAGTTCTGCAAAGACTGCAGGATCAGGACCCACAACAGGCCCTTATTTCATGTACCTCATGCTGGGTACTAACATGAGAGGATTCTAGATTTATTAAAATAAATTGGCTCTTTATTAAAGCATCTGTATACACAGCTGCTCCAGCCGCAACTTAATATTTTATGCATCTGCATAAGCCACAAAGAATGACTGCCTGGTGTTCCTCCCAACTCTTTTCTCTTGTAATCCATGCGCCTCCCTTCAGCTTTCATGCAAGTTGCTACAGTTTTGCTAGAGAAAATCTCTTAGCACTTGATTAAATGTAAGCATGTGAATAATTGTACTGAGGTCAACGTGGCAACTTGTTCATGTAAAGTTAAACAAATGCTTGAATGTTTTTCTGGATCAGAGATATAAATAGGTAAACATACATACACACACAAGTCAATAAAGACTATCTGTACGTGAGTAAAGATTTACAGCATTTGGATCCAAAATGACAACAGTAAAGTTATAAAACAGATATTTTCAAACTTTAATTTGGGCTAGCTCTTTATTAACAGAGAAAAAAGCTGTGTATCCAACAAAACAGCTGGGGGTACATAGTTAAACCTCCCCAGCTATGTTAAAACAGTGTTATGGCCAAGCCTTCCTTGAACTAACGAAAATAAGAAAATCCAGGGTTAAGGATGATACTCCTCTAACTTATCCTTGCAGCACTGAGAGACAGTGAATGAATCTGAGATCAAAGAGAGATTTCACACACCACATAAATTGCAACACCATCTAATTTTATTAGGATGGTTTTAAGAACAGAGTTTATGCTTTTATTGTGAATTCCAGAGTTTTCATCACCATCATTAAAATTAAAATGCCTATTTCTCCTTGTGTATATGAGGGTTTTTCCTTTTTTTATATAAATTAAAAAGAAAGGGGAAAGAACCCACCACCGGGAAATGTTTGAGGAATGATATAACATTTTATTAAAAAACCAGCCACAACCCTAACTATTACGATAATACATACTATTTTATACTATCAGTCAATGTTACTTTCTGTGACACAGTCAGGGTCCAGACACCCCAGGGAATCGGAACCCCAAAGAATAAAGCAATTAAATCAACTGACTGTGAGACCAAAAAACAATGGAAGCTCTATTTACATATGAATCAGCAGAAGGATGACAGGTTTCAGAGGAACAGCCGTGTTAGTCTGTATTCGCAAAAAGAAAAGGAGTACTTGTGGCACCTTAGAGACTAACCAATTTATCTGAGCAGAAGGATGAGAAGTTCACAGGAAGAGAACAACAGAAAGCCTTCCTAGCTCTTGAAACAAAGACAATGAACTTTGGGGATAATATAAGGAGGGGCAAAAAGACATTTGAGCTATCCATCACTTGAGTGACTGAAGAGGCCAGAGCTCTCGAAATCACAGAACAGTGGGTCCTTCAGCCAAGGAGGTTGAAGTCTATGGAAAATGAATATAGGTGAGAAACCTGCTTAAACCATGAATATAACTTGCTGAAGTTAAATTTAATCAATAGAAAGTGTGTTTTGTTTGTTTTGTCTATAACCCTTCATACCTTTCACTATTACTAGAAATCACTTCACCCTATGTTCTTTGTTAATAAACTTTGTGACACTGCAGCCCATATTCTTCATAGAGCTATTATATATATATATTGATATATATATATGATATGATATGATTATGGCATAACTATGATATTTTATGCAAGATGGGTCATGTGAGATATTGAAAAGGTTATGATTTACTGAATCTAATTATCCTATTTGTATGGATGGATTATTTTTGCACTTGAAGTTAGGAATATTGACTGTGAATCTGTATTACAAATATGTTTACACCTGGGGAATGCCCACTAGGCAGAATACAATCAGTCTAGATGGCAGTCTGGAAAGGGCCATTAGGGAGAACAATAGGTCTTAGATAATGCTAAGGGAGCCTTCCTGAGGATGCTACAAACAGCCTCCAAGTTACAGCTGCTGTGACCCTACCAAGTCACCTGGTACTGGACTCCATCTTGGAATACCAGTGTTTTTCCACTGACTGGGCATGGGAACCAAGCTTGGAGACAAAGGGTTCCCACCCTATGCAAAAGCTATTTAAGGCAGGTTAGTGACATCATCGTGGTTCTTCACTGACTCCCCACCCAAGAAGACTGCTGGAAACACCTGAAGAACAAGGACTGGTGTAGGATTCATTCAAGGTTCATGCACTTGGCAACATTCAGGGCACACCCGGAGTGTTGTGTAGGAGCAGTGCACACACAGCTCCTCTCAAGGGCATGAACCTTGGAATCTCGCCCAGATGACATGAACCGTGGGAAGCCTCCCAGGACTGGGCTCAAGGCCCGAGAGCAAGGAATGCGGTAGATAGAAATTGGTAAATAAGAATGTTAAACAAAGCCAGTGTATTCCTTTTATCTATTGGAGAACGTAATGCGCGGGGGGAGAGAAAGAATAAAGGAGAGGGTGGAAAGCTGACAGGACCAGTCCATTGGCAGACCAGCCTGTTTGCTTGCTTAAAGCTTTGTGCTGTCTTGTATTTGAACCGTAACAGACTGGACTGGGGGAGAAGGACTGAACCCAGGCTAGAGGAATTTCTAGCCTTTGAAAGGAATACCTGGGGTTTTAAGCTGCAAGCAAGTGCAGCCTGCCCTCAAGAATCTCTGCAAACTGCCTAAATCAACAATTATGGTGAGAATTTGCTACTCATATCCTATCTCTTTTGTATATTAAGCTTAGATTTCATTTTCGTTTATTTGTTAGGTAATCTGCTTTGATCTGTTTGCTACCCCTTATAATCACTTAAAAACGATCTTTCGTAGTTAAACTTATTTTTGCTTTGTCTAAAACCAGTGTGTGTGGGAGTCATAACTCGGGGAAGAAAGCTGTGTATATTCCTCTCCACATTGACGGAGGGGGCGAATTTCATGAGCTTACACTGTACACTTCCCTGTGTAGTGCAAGATGGTATAATTTTGGATTTACCCTACAAAGGGAGGTGTGCACTTCAGTAACTGGGCAATTCCTTAGCTGAGACTTCCCATGGAGAGCTGATCTCAGCATCTGTGTGTCCCTACCTGCATGTGTGCTGGAGGGGGCTTGACGGCCTGTCAAAGCAATATAGTGTAAAGCAGGGATGGGCAAACTTTTTGGCCTGAGGGCCATATCAGGATGCGAAACTGTATGGAGGGCCGGGTAGGGAAGGCTGTGCCCCCTAAACAGCCTGGCCCCCGCCCCCATTCGCTCCCTCCCACTTCCCATCCCAACTCTCCCCATCAGAACCCCTGCCCCATCCAACCCCCCCTGCTCCTTGTCCCCTGACTGCCCCCTCCCCTCCAAAGGGATCCTACCCTCTATCCAAAACCCCCTGCTCCCTGTCCTGATTGCCCTGACCCCTAACCACACCTCCACCCCCTGACAACCCCCCCCTGCACTCCCACAACCTATCCAACCTCCCCTGTTCCCCGCCCCGCCCCAGAACTTCCGCCCCATCCAACTGCCCCTTGCTCCCTGTCCCCTGACTGTCCCCCGGGACCCCCTACCAAACCTAGTCACCGCCACGCGCACGCCGCTGCCGCCCCCTTACCATGCCACTCAAAGTGGCAGCGAAACTGTGAGGGAGGGGAAACAGCGGAGGAGGGGCCGGGGACTAGCCTCTCGGGCCAGGAGCTCAGGGGCAGGGAAGGATGGTCCCGTGGGCCAGATAGTTTGCTCACCTCTGGTGTAAAGGGAGCCAAGGCTGGTAGGTCAGGCGGGCTCAGTGGTACCCCAGTTTCAGGTGGCATCTCTGGGGGGAACCCATCACAAACTTATTTTTAGTTTGACTATAATCCACCTCAGTGCTACATACTAACAAGATGCCTAAGTCCTCACCTAAAGTAGCAGGTCGGTGCTGTGTCTGTCTCTCTAAAGAAGCAGTGAACTTAATAAGGTTCTGTGAGCACTGCACCAAAAGGACTGGACTATTTTTCTTGCCTGTTGCTTTGACCAGATCACCCCTCTCTCTTTTAATCCCTCCACTAGCTTCCCCTTCTCTATCATATCAGACATAAGCTGTTTATATTCACTTTCAAAGCCCTTCAGAGTCAGTCTCCACCCTACCTATCGTCTTTCATTCACTATCAACCTGTCAATGCTTGGCTCCAATAGCCTCATAGGCTTGAACTCCAGCTGCTAACCAAGTTAAAGCTCAGTCAACAAGTCATCACTGCTATTTTAACCTGAGTTAGCTGACCCAACTTAAAACATACTCCCCTTCCTCCCCTGCAGTATAGACTCTGGCTCTGAACTAATAATTACAATGAATGACTGAACCAAATCTAAGTACACAAAAATGTTCCCTTCCAAGAGCTGAAAGGATCTGTTTCAGTCAGAGCCAATCATCATAGATGAGCATCAGTTAATTTTTAATTTTCTATTTTTGTCATAGAAGGTAGGTGTTGAAAAGAAATTCTCTTCCACATATGTATTAATCCAAAGTGAACATTTATCTGTATCCCTAATCATCTGAATAATTCAATAGGTGAAAAAAAAAATCAGTCTGAATATGGGTGCTGAAGTCTTCTTTATAGCACTTCACCTTTTGCATCCTCCTGTCTCATAAACCAGAGCAGCTGTGGAATGGGAAAGAAACTTAAGGATGGGATTTTCAAAAGCACAAAGTGTTGGCAAAACTCAGATCCTACTGAAGTCTTACACTTACACAAACTTTTAAATTTTACAAATTCTATGTTTGTACAGAACCTGGCACAACTGTGCCCTGATTCTAGCTGAGACCTTAATATAAATAATCACAATGAAATGGGCATTTATTTCACACTGAGTATTAGTGCTCACTAACGGATACTTCAGATGCAATGAAGGCACAACTCTCTGCTGCATAAAGCATGCTAAGCATTTCACAGAACAGAAAGTTAGCCAGGTTTCCAGCCCTGAACAGTTTACAATACTAACAGAGAAAACAAATGAGAGATGTTTTGTCGGAAGGAATGCAAATGTGCTAAAAGTAATTAAGATGATGTCATGGTCCAATCAATTTGTAGGTATTCATTTGACTATTCCTGCTTTCCCCTTCCTCCTGTTTTCATTTGTGCTGGTGCCCTAACCTATAAACATCAAATATAATCTGATGGATTCATTTGGATAAGCCCTCCTGATTGATACTTCCTGGCCCCCAAAAGCCTTGTTCTGAGGTGTACGGATTTTAGTTATTTTTAAAAATTATTTTAATCCTCGATTTGATCCTGTGTTCTCCTCCCACTATTTGCTGATTTATTCACTTCCTTGTTCTAATCCTCATGCCACTCTGTTCAACCAAGGTGTGCATTAAACTGCACTAAGCACAGTATGTCATATCTGACATGCTTTGCTAATGTTAACAATGTCATGCTGTTAATAAATTGTTGGGATCGTACCGAAAAAAATACTTAACACTAACTTTCTTGGAATAATAGTGGGACAAGCTCTACACATGAAGGATGCTTGAAACTAAAGAATTAACTGCTGCCTATGGAATATTTGCAAGGAACATTTTCATCAATTTCCAATTTGATTCATTATTGTGTATACACTTAGTACTCTCAAATGAAGCTAATTTTTAAGTCATTAACTTCCTATTGTGGGTGGGAAGATTATTACCACCACTAAACCCTCTAGAAATGTTTAGTGACTTATGACACACTGGACCAAAAAATACATTTCTATAAATCTGAGCTCAAGAAAACTGGTGCATTTAAAGCCAATAGATGTTAGTTCTAAGTTCATCAGAAAGTTCTGCATTAACTGTTTCCAACTGGATTTTGAGAAATGGTATAGTTATCACTGCAAGGTGCTGAAATTTCAAAGACTCTCACTGTGCTTACATTTTACACACTGAGCAGTTCCATTTACTTCCATTAAAATTAAGCTCATGCTTAAGTCTTAACTGTTTCAGGGCCCAAGTCTGTAATGTATGAGAAAGTAAAGAAAATGATGTTGCGCTGTAAGTTATAACAAGAGCATCTAAAGCACACGAAGAATCACCCTTTTTCACATTTAAATTAAATCAAAGACATAAATAAATATTAATTAAACAAAACTAAACTGAGGACCTAAGCAGAAGATAATAAAATTTAAGTAGGGCAAAAATTTTTGTAAATTTACAAAATACAAAAAGAAAAGATGTTACATAAATTAGTTAATTGCATTAAATATATAAAGTTGAGACTCTAAAAGTTACAGATTACAGATAACAATTACAAATTTCTTAAACTACTTGTGAAACACCATGCCCTACACATTGGTTTCAGTTTCTGTGACATGACACTGAATTACTCACTAGTGCATCCAATTTCATGGCTAGGATACTACAAACACATACAACAATTAGACGTTGGCAATTTAGTCCTAAACAATTTATTGAAAGGATTGTAGAACAGCAACTATTTCTCATGCTTGAAAACAAATTCTGCCCAGAAAAACAACATCTAGTATATAATAGTACATACCTGTCGGAAAAATCCCTTCTCTGTATTTGCCTGCCCAACTGTTATTTTTCTTAGGAATCGGTCATTTGTATCCAATACTGGAAAGAGGGTGGGAGGAAAGAAGAAAAATGAAACATTTACATTGACAGAGAATCAGCCACCTAGTTACTCTCCACATACGCCTGATATAAGAATACATTATTTTTTGCAGTACTGTATATGCTTTTGTACTCAGTTGAGCATACTTCTACATCTAGATTAACTTTGCAGTAGTGCACATAGGCTCCTCTTTCCTAGCTGAGATACACTAGCTTTTACACTCTTAAATGTCCAGTCTGAAATGTCTCAACTGTAACTTCTTTGATAGAATAATCTTCTGTTGGGAGCAACAAGATCTTACTGGAATCCCTCTGTTTAGCTACTACAACAAAATCTTAATCTCCATCTCCAGGTGTAACAAAAGCCTGTTTTAGTGGATCAGCACCATTCCAGACCCACCCACTGCACACCTCTTCATGACAAGGTTTTGAAAATACATTTTTAGACTACCAGATGGCCAAATAAGTATTCCCATGTTGTAAATGTACCTTTAGCTTAAGCCCTTCCCCTTCAAAAACAGCATTACATTAGCAAATTAGGTCCCAAGAAATTCCACACCATGTCATTTTTCTGCATCTCAATATGCAGTTACCATCTCCTATTTTACTTCCATGTCTATCTAACGCCATTTGGCAGGAAGTCTTTTCCAATTGACAAGCAAGCAACATCTATCTAACATACTTAACCCTTATCTGAATATCCACTGAGCTCTTAACTGAGAAATATCTTCACAATACTCAAAGTGCAGCCAAATCCATTTCATGGATCCCCTCCCTCATCTTTATTTAAATTTATGCTGAAGCAAACTTAGTTCTTCCAACTACAGAAAAGGGTGCATTTTTGGCAGCATTTAACTTAAAGCATGCGTTTTTGAGCACCAGAAAGAAGGGCCCACTAATCTGAAAGAGCTCCTGCTGTGAAGAGGCCAGCAAGTTAGTGTGAAGGTAGGTGTTCACTGTGGTGGAGTAATGCCTTTGGTATTTAGCCAAGTATGAATGCAAAGTTCCACTAAAAGTGCCTCTGAATTCACCGTTACCATGTGGGTATCCCTGGGAATTAAACTGGGACCTCTACTCAGCATCCTCTTTTTGAGGCATACCACTTTTCTTTTAAATTTATAATATCCTCTGTGCTAGTCCACACTGATTCCAACTTAGCTGCTTCTTTTTAAGCACATGGAATACAACAGATAGGCAGAAACCAAACTGAATAAAAATCAACCCTATCAGAATCCTTACATTCTGAGAACAAAATAATTACATTACATACAACTAATGTAGCAGTATCTGAACTGGCAAATGGCATAAAATACAGCTGGCTCTTGAGTATATCATTATATTTATACTATCCTTTCTGGCTGTCTCGTTAACAAAAAAGAGACATAAAATTAATCTTCCTTGTTTCTGATTTGAAGTCAAAATGAAGAACCACCCAACTATTTTTCTAATTCCTTACCCACTAAAAAGCCAACCATGCACAAAACAGATATTATAACTATATGAACCTTGTATCCTTTTTACCTGTTAAGAGATTCAGACTCAGCATCAGTTACATATTCTATAACAAACCACACTCATGATGGCTAATTACCATATACACTGCATCAGGTCTCATAGACTGAATATTCACAAGAACTTTGATATAAAATCTAATATCACTCAAAATCTCAGTTTTATTTTTAGTCTTTGCTAGAAATTCCCAGAAGTCCATCAGTACACTTACGTTAAAGATTCGTTGGGGAAAATATTCTTTGCGTACGATTTGTTATTTATACTCAACTACTGCCTGTGAGTCCTGCTCATAAGCAAAGCCCCCACTGTGCTAGGTGCTGTACAAACAGAACAAAAAGGCAGTGCTTTCCCCAAAGAGTGCACGTGTTATATATAAGACAAGAGGCAGAGGCAGAGACAGACAGATGGGGGAGCACATGGAAACAATGAGGTAATACTGGTCAGCAAGACAGGCAATGGTCTCAGCTCACCAACAGCCTAATCACAGTCATGTTTTTTATAGGCCTTCTGGCAAAAAAGTTTTAAGGAGAGTTCTGCAGATGCTTATGGGGAGCTTCTCCCAAGCGTGAAGGGCAACATGGGAGAAAGTATGAAAGTGCTTGCTTGAAAATTCAACAAGTGGGGGAAGGAAGCTGACATCACGGACTGATTGGAGGTGAAAGATGACCTTTTGGGATTGGCTTGATCATTTTCTAGGAATCAATCCCACCACAGCATGCATGCTCTGTCCATGTTCAACTTTCCTCTTTACCTCAGGCGTTACGCTCCTGATTTCTCTTGTCCATTATCTTTTTTGTTGTAGTAAATGGTTCCCTGGGTTTTCTCCCTCTCATCTTAGCTAGCTCAGACATTGTCTTTTACCTTACTGACCCATTTACTATCTTAGTAAATAAAACATTCCATTTTCAGTCTGCTGATCTAGTTACCACCCTAATCTTGTCTTCCAAGAAATGAAGCCTTTCCCATTTTAAATTCCTTATGTCAAGTCAGGTAGGGTGGGGATAGGTCATAAAGGGTCTTGAAAATGAAATAGCTTATGTCTGATACAGAAAAGAGGGAGCCAGCAAAAGGGATGCAAAGAGAGGATTGCAATGGTCAAAGCAATGGTAACTCATTTTCGTGAGCTTAAAAGCAAAGCCTTTGCTCTTAGTATCCTGAGAATCAGCACATTGCCAAAATGCTAGAATGCAATGACTTCTCAAGGTCCCTTCCACCCCCACACTTCCATGATTCCACAATGCCTTATTAATATTAAAAGCAATTTTCACATAGATTAAGACAATTCTAATGAAACTAAAGCGATTAGTGGATAAAACTTGCATTTTAAAAGATACTGGATAAAGAGAAAGTCTAGCACAGGGGTCTCAAAGTCCTGGCCCACGGGCCATCTGCAGCCCAACAACCTCCCCACTGCGGCTCACAGAGGAGAGACGCATGCAGCCACGCTGCCACCAATGTCTGCTGCAGGCGCTGCGCCCGCAGCTCTCATTGGCTGGGGGAGAGGGACAGAGATACCATCACTAGTTGCCGGGCAGAGTCAGCCATATAGGCATCATCATTAGTTGCCGGGCAGCGTCAGCCATGGAGGCATCACTTTTTTCCTCAATGAATATAAACAAGTCAAAATACCAAACACAACTATCTGATGCCCACCTTGCTGCAATCCTGAAGGTTTCAGCTGCTCAGTCTCTGAGGCCAAACATCAACAAACTGACAGAACTGAAGCACTGCCAGGTGTCTGACAAACACTGAAAACTCTCTGGCAGGGGAAGAATTGTATAAAGTTGTATGACAGTTTTATTATTTCTAAGAAATCCAAAATAAAAAATACAATATAAACATTTTATTTTCTGAACACCATCTTCAGTGACATTATTGGCCTGCTGTGAGGATCTGAGGACTGGCAGTGGCCCTCAGGTAAATTGAGTTTGAGACCCCTGGTCTAGCATTTTCTTTGGAAAAAATGGTAAACCACATAAACCAAACCAAGGTTTCTGGTTTGGTTACAGTAGCACTACATTTAAGGGTTCATCTGCATTTCTACTGGAGATCCATGTCTACACAGGTGAATGGGCCCACCCACTCACAGCTCACTGCATAAATGGAGCCTTAGTGTTCAAATCGGCATATTTGGTCTCAACCAGGGCCATCTTTTACTAAATCTGTAAACAAAGGTTAATCCTGCTGGTTTGGTGCTAAATAAAAGTAAAAACCCAAATGGGAACCCAGCAGCTCACTGGTGACCCTAAAGAGCCAAAAGCCGCTGAAGAGCACAAGCATTACCAACATGATTCAGAGTGATAGCAAGGGAGATCTCTCTGTGGGGTGAACAGCACCTTTTAAGTATTTTTTTAAATGGATGAGGACAAGGAAAGGAGAGGATATAGAGACAGAATGATTACTACCAGCACCAGAGAGCAAGAGGGAGGAAAGCAAGGATTGGCTGGTGGCAGTGGGAACTTCCTCTAAAAAGAAAGACTGCATATTTAAAAAAAATATCCGATGTATAGCTATTGTCATGACTAAAAGAATTAGGATAGTTGGTTGCCAAACCACCCTCAACTCCTTGAATGTATTTATTATAGGATGAATCCTGCAAGGTGTCAAAAGCCCCCAACTCCCACTGGTCACCTTTTAGCATTAAGTCCAGCAAAAATAACCAGTTTATAAATCCTGATAGCTCACTACAATAAATGAACAAATTTACTTCTCTGTCTCTCCATAGTAAATCCATCTTTGTTTTATAAGTTATATTTTACATAAAACATACACTATACATACTTAGGTGCCATGGTGACTGGCATAGTATAAAAATCTAAAAACAGAACATAATAAGTGGAGATAATATCCATGTGCTAAATTGTAGGACCACGTGATAAGTTACAGGGTCATATGCTAAACTTATGTCTTTTGACCAGTTCATCTGCTCTCTGTCCACTAATCCAGCTCCTCCAGGTTTATTTCAATATTTCAATTCCATGAGTTGCCATTTCAAACAGTTGCCACTTCTAAAAAATCAATCTGCCAAACAAATGTTTCTTCCTTCTTACCCTAAATTTATACTTGCCAGGATGACCAGGTTTAATCCTGAGTCAGTGATGGATTTAAGATCTATTATCTCCTGATCCTCCAAGAGTAAAACTGGGAGCTTTATACCACTGTACTACTGGAAAAAAGGAGATTTCCCACTTTCCAATGATGTGCAGCATGTGCTTAGTTTAGCACAGCAATGTAATTGACTTTAAATTTAAACATAAATGTTGTTTTTAAGTCATTTTTAGATAGTTCCCGGTCTCCCTCTTCAGCTCCATCCACAAGAATCTTTGATAACCTAGGCACTTGGCTTACAGGTAGAAGGATTCCAGAAATAATCCCAATAAAACATTTCAAATCTCAAACACTGCCAAAACAGTTTTGCTGTAACGTATGTGGCATATGCATTCTATGCAGAGTGGTATAAAGGCTTCACTGGCATTTGTTTTGGACAAACTGAATAACTGACTTCTGAGTAATGCAACTCTGCCAAACAATGCTGATGAAAATGTTATGCCACATCACAGTGCCATATTCTCTCTCTCTCTCTCACTCTCACACACACACACACTTGCATGCATAATAATAAACATAGCATATTGCATAGCCCAATACTATATTAATGAAATAACCTGTATCTTATAAAGTATGCACACAAGGAGACAGAGTAAAAGGGTGGTAAGGAAACTTAATTGCTCAATTTCCTGTCTTTTATAGGTGGTAGTCAGAACCCCATGTTCCATTAATAGGCATTTTTCGTTGAATAATATTTGTTTGAAAAACTTTAAAATTAATGACAGATTTCAGCCATCTTAGTCTGTATTCGCAAAAAGAAAAGGAGTACTCTAAGGTACTTTAAGGTGCCACAAGTACTCCTTTTTTTTAAAATTAATGCGTACCTGTCATATTCTCTACAACTGATGCAAGGATACATAGTACTTTAACCCACCAATTAAATATGAAGATTGTCATTTGGCACTAAGCCTTCCACAGCCTTTTCTTATACTGACAAGATCCAGAACCTGTGCTCATTGCTGTATTTCTGAATCCTAGCACTAAACTAAGAGCATTGTGACTGAACGTAGAGAGCTGCCAGACTAGAAGGATGACTACTTATACCTGTTTGTTGGTTAACATGCTTGGATTAAACAGTACCGTAACTTTCCCCTCACTTTCATTATGATCAGAGGAAACTACTGTCAAAAGTACAATCGTTCAAACACTCTCTTAAAATCATTATCTCTTATTGCTTCTTTAGTCAGACAAAAGCAATGGAATAGTTCATAGTCTAAACTTCCACGGCAGGCACATGGAATATGAAATAGAGTGTAACAAATAATCTAAACAGCTGTAAGGAACAATAAGGAACAAGGACAGGAGGAAAATTTAGAAAAATTTAAGGGGCTCTCCGTTTTACATGGATTTCTAAGAAATATTTCATCTGGGTGACAAGGTATGGTATGGCAACTTACACAGAAAAATCTGTTCTTTAAAAATACACACTAACTTTTAATGAAAATGGAGACTGTTAAGAGAACATTTCCACAGCTTTAAAAGAGCAACACATGATTCTGTTTGTAATTTAAACCTAGTTAATTGTTCAGCATGCTACTTCAAAATTTCTGTTATGTACTCATATTAGTGGTTTGAAAATGGATTGTTCATATAAATCAGTAGACTCAACTCTTTAGGCTAGTTAATTTAGGTCTTAATTCACACAGAATCATAGAAATGTAAGGCCGGAAAGGACTTCGCTTAGAAAGACCATGCTTAGGCAGGATCATGTATATCTAGACCATCCAGGAGCTTTGGCCCCTGACCTGATCTTAGGAGGTCCATACCTGAGAATAAACAGTAATCTATATTTTAGAATAAATTAAGCTTCTTAAGGAAGTGTTGTTAAATAATTAATGCTGTAACACAAGTAGAAGAAAACAAAATGTAAAAGTATTTGAAATAGGCTTTGTAATAAGTTTAAGGATTAATAGGCCTGGATAGTTAGCAAGATTTAGCAATAGTTTTTTGTGATAAATACCGAAACCGCAAAGCAGCAGAAGTGAGCTTAAAATAATAGATTTCTAGGGATTTTTCGATACATATAACCAGGAAGTGAAAGCGCATTTCTGAAATTGAAATCAGGGGCAGGTACATTGATGCATACAACTTGAATAAGCAGTCAAAACCCTAATTATGGTCCCTGGAATGACCAACACAGGCAAAAGGGTGAGACCCAAATCAAAGATGGTCCTGGATGTGTGGGGGGGATGGAAGGAAGAAAAAGTATAAGACGATGGTCAGACCAATCCTTAATTGGGACATCAGAGATGAAAGAATGGCAGAAGCCTTAGTACCATCAAGCCTTCCTATGGTGCTCTCCACTTAGTTTCCATAAGGTTGTGAGTATGCACAATGTAGGGGATCATTTTGTTGTATTTATTTTTCTATAATTTTAATTATACTTGTCTATATAAAATAAAACTCAAAAAGTCTGTGTGCCCACCAATTTTATTTTTAATACAACTTCTTACATAGCCACCTCAGTAAAGAACCTGTTACTAGTGACAAGTGCATTTTGCCCCCCATGTTAATCAAAAGTTTACAGGTGTTTGTCTAGTCTTTTCTTTAAAACCTCCAATGATGGGGATTTCACCACCTCCCTCGGTAACCTATGCCAGGACTTATCTATCCTTACAGTTAGAGACTTTTTCCTAATATGTAAGCCAAATGTCTCTTGCGGACGATGAAGCTGATTACTTCTTGTCCTACCGTCAATGGATATGACGAATAACTGATTACTGTTCTTCTTCATAACAGCCCTGAACATATTTGAAAACCATCATCAGGTCTCCCAGAGTCTTCCTTTTTCAAGACTAAACATACCCAGTTTTTTTTACATTTTTCCACATAGGTCAAGTTTTTATCATTTTTATTATTCTCCTCTTGACTCTCTCCACATCTTTCTTACAATATGGCAGCCAGAACTGGATACAATACTCCAGCTGATGCCTCACGAGTGCCGAGTAGAGTGAGAAAATTACCTGTCTCACATTTGACACAATAAGACACCCCAGAATTATATTTTCATTTTTTGCAACTGCATCATATTGTTGACTCAGATTAAATTTGTGATCCACTATAACGCCTCCACATACTTTTCAGCATTATTACTGCCTAGTCAGTTATTCCTCATTTTCCGTTCAGTTTCAGTTATTCCTGTGCATTTGATTTTTCCTTTCTAAATGTAGTACTTTGCACTTGCCTTTATTGAATTTTATCTAGTTGATTTCATACTAGGTCTCCAATTTATCAAGGTCATTTTGAATTCCAATCCTGTCCTCCAAAGTGCTAACAACCTCCCGCTTTCTTTTCCCCACAGCTTGGTGCCATCCACAATTTGATAAGAACACTCTCCACCCCATTTCCCAAATCGTTAACGAATAAAACAGCACTGGACCCAGAACGGACCCATGCAGATACCCACCCTCCCAGTTCGACAGTGAACCACTGATATCTACTCTGAGTACAGTCTTTCAACCAGTTGTGCACACATTTTATAGTAATTTCATCTAGACTACATATCCCTTTCTTGTTTATTAGAATGTCATATGAGGCAGTGGCCAAAACCTTACTAAAATCAAGATATAGCACATCTACTTCTTCCCCCCATCCACTAGGCCAGCAACCTTGTCAAAGAATGAAATTAGGTTGGTTTAGCATGATTTACTCTTGACCAATCTATGTTGGTTATTATTTATCATCCTATTATCCTTTAGGCACTTACAAATTGATTAATAACTTATTCCAGTATCTTTCCAGGTATCAAAGTCAGGCTGCTTGGTCTGTAATTCCCTGGGTCCTCTTTGTAAAAAGATATGTATTATGTTTGCCATTCTCCAGTCCTCTGGGACTTCACCCATCCTCCATGACTTCTTGGATATAATTGCAAATGTTTCCAACATTGTTTCAGTTAGTTCCTTAAGTACCCCTGTATAAATTTTGTCAGGCCCCGTTGATTTGAATACATCTATCTAAATAGTCTAATATATTTAAATATGTTAAGCATCTGGCCACAAGTAGCTTTTTTCAGAGAAGACAGAAGAAAAACAGGCATTAAACACCTCAAACTTAAAGACAGGCTTGTGATTAAGTACTGTGCTGAAGTGAGGCCTTATTGACCGTTAATACTTACCTCTTTGCCATGTTATGGTAGATGGGTCAATATCAAGGCGTACAAATTTACTAATCTCATCTGCTGTTAAAGTGCCTGGATCTGTCTTGTTTATCCCCAACCTCTAGACAAAAATGAGAAGAAAAGCAATAAAGCAGACTTCCTGCTTAGAAAGCTATACAAACACATGTACCCACCCTGTTTCTTCCCCCCTCTTATATTTTTACAAACTTTTACATTTTTTTAAAAAGCAGCAGGCTGAAACACTTCAATAAATCACAACGCTCAGGCTCAAATGATAAATTATACAGAAAAGCTCCTATAACAATGGAGAAAAACGTGGAGAGGAAAAAGGAGAAATACTCAAAGGCAGTTACCCAAAAGGTCTCTATATAAACACACCACCACCCCTTTAAGATAAACCAAAGAGAAGAGGCAACAAAGGAGACAGTATGAAAAAGATAATTAACAAATAATTTATGCCTGATAACTCTTTGTCTTGCCAGAGGACACGTCCTTGCAAATATCCATGTGTGGCTTTACATGACTACTCTGTGCAGTGAGTAATAAACTTCTGTCTGCCTAATTGATGTGGTATTTCAACAGCTCCTACACAACATGAAAACCACCCCAAACCCTGTCATTTAGAAAGAGCAGCACAATATATTATTTGCTCCTAATTCAGCAATGTCAAACAAAATTTTAAAAATGAATCTGCACAGAGACGAACCAAGAGAAAATTGTACAATAAAATCCCAATTTTATACAAAATGAATGTGTCTCCCTGGCCCTAGAAAGCATTCTTCAGTAAATTACCAAGCACACTCAGTTTTTAATGTTAACATTTATAAATTTTAGATGTAATGTTTGTTTCAGTCACACAAATACACTCACATATTTGAATGTCAGTTTCACGAAACATTTAAAATTAACATGAAGTACTATACCAAACAAAAACACCTTTGCTCATATGTCCCCAGTTTTACCAGTCCCTATTTCATAAAGGTTGTGGATGTCCCTTTGAGACTGTCATTAAAAATAGAGCCCCACTGTATTTCTTTTTAAATAGCACTCTCTCCCAGCATTTGTGTAGCATTCTTCCAAACAGTAGGTATAGAACTATTGTGAAAAAGGGGGACTATTGTGAAAAAAGTGTTCACAAACATTTGAATAAAACCACAAATTTGTTCTGACGATATTCACCACTCCTTTATTCACTTTCTGCAAACATATTACCCAATAATATTTGCAGAGAGCAAAAGTGTCATGAATACTCACATGGATGTTTTTGCACTATCAGTAACTTATTCAAACCCTCTGCCTTCTTATAAAATCTTTGTTCATTGAATCAGGAAGCAGAAACACATATTTATATATTACTAAAGTGACCAAACACAAATACTGAATACTCAGATCAATACTGTTCAGCGGCATGCAGGAGGAACTGGAAGGGAGGGGGAGGAGTTAATCAGTGGGGCTGTAGGCAGGCAGGAAGCACTGGGGGAAGCTTGGCTGCCAGGGGTGTTAAGCACCTGCTATGTGATCATGTAGTTAAAGATTGTATCATAATGCATATGCAGAGGAGGGCCTAATAAAGGTTGCACAGGTACCCTCACTTCTGGCATTTCCTAACTTGTGAGTGCTTGACTTTGTGGCCTTGATAATATTCTTTTAACATAGTTTTTAGTAACTTTAAAAACAATTTACACCAAAATAATTGAGTTGCAATAGAGATTCTGCTGCACATATTCAGAAGCTTTTAAGTTAATAAGCAGAAATCATTTGCAGCTCTAGTAGAACAGAGAAACCCACCCCACACTGCAGAGCTATTTGATATTTCATGAATAACTGCAATGTCAGCACCTCTTTTTTTCTCCAGGCACCCTAATGTAAACGAAGACAAACTGAAAATATTCTCCACTAGAGTCTCTCAGACAAACTTCTGTGAGAGCCACTTTGCAACAGAGGTAAACAGACACCACACATATCCTGTTTTACTTTCAACAAGACAATTGAGTAGCACAAAAACTAAAAATACATAATTAAAAGAACCATTTTTAACAATGTGATATTAACCTAAAAAAAGTGTAACATGGCTCCATAAGCACTTTGCAAACATTCACTGCCACCCAGTAGCTGTCAAATACACTAGTTAGGACTATGAACTGCTTCCTCAAAAGACTAGAACAGTGATATGGAACTTTCGTGTGCCAAAGCTGGACACAGCAAAATAGCACATATCCTGGGTGTTTGTAGCCAAAATTTCCCCTCTTCCAACATTGGCAGATTGTGCTATAAACCAGTTGTTTATCTGTCTACCAGTTGCCACCTCACACTGTGTATATAATAGACAGAGAAGCTCAGGGAACATTTAGGATGAAAGTTTATATGCAAACAAAATATGTGGAGAAATGCATTTTTATCACTCCATGCAGAGAAACGTGAGGACAGCCAGTAGTTCTCAACAAATCTCCAGTAACTTCCTCTTAAAAATGAGAAAATAAAATAAAAATGGAAAAATACTAGAGTAATTCAGCTTTCCCATTTAACTGTGCCGTAATGGAAAGTATCAAAAAAACTAATCTTGACATTTATTCACGGAAGAGTCAGTTTATAAAACATTATGGTCTCACTTTGTGGGAAGAGAGATACTAGTTTATAAAAAAATATTGGAACTAGACTCTGTAACTGCAAAACAGGAAGCTTCTAGAAAGCCTGCTAAATACTTAAGGAAAGCCAAATCCTTGAGGAAAGACTGTACCACATTAAGGCACTTTCAGTTACAAATCTCCTTGTAACTTGTTAAAAATAATTTTAAATAGCATATTTTATAAGATATATTATACTTGCGGGAAAAAAACAGGGAAAATACATTAGCAACTTACTTTTAAGCGGGCAAGCTGAATAGAAGAAAATTCTCTCACACTATTAACTACTGGAACCAGCCTATTATACAAAGCCTAAAAAAAACACACACACGAGAGAAAAATGTTACAACTAAAATAGACAAATACAATAAAGTCTAACTTGATTCAAATCATGTAGATTATAATCTCATAACATTTTTTGAAACAATGTAAACTGTTAGTGTATACTTACATTTAACCAATTAAAAAGAAATCCTGACTAGTGAGCAAATTTTCAAAAGAACTTAAGTGCCTAAGTTACATTTTCAAAGGTGATTTAGGTCCTTCAGCACCCAAGTCACATTAACTTTCAAAGAGACTTAGGTTCCTAAATGCCAGCATAACTTTTGGAAATGGAACTTAGGTGCTTTTGAAAATTTTAATCAAGGTCTGAAATAACCCATTTTGTAATCAGTATCTGTAAAGAGATTTAAGTGCACTTTTCTGGATTCAGAAGTCTGTCATGTCAACAAAGCAATAACTATCAGCATATTAAGGGGATAAGGCTGTGCTCCCCGGTTACAACAGAAGATCCACAAACGAAGAAGGCTCTCTTTCCCATAACATGGGTTTTCAGAGCAACAGGGTAACAATTAAGCTAAGTTCACAATAAGTTCAGTAGAGGCTAGAGAAAAGGTCTATGGTAGCTTATTTCCCAGTTAAAGCCCTCCAGTGCACACCTTAGGATCAACACCTAACAGAGTCATTTATCTACAATTTCTTGTCTCAAAAACATGATGGGGGGGGGGGGTTCCAAAGAGAATTATAAAATGATATAATCAACAAAAAATATTTATGTAGATGTTTACAGGAAACTTCAAAAGAAAGCCACGGATGGAAATCGTACAGGTAAACCTCACCTTATCAGACTGAGTGCTTTCATGCAAGATCCTCGCATCAATAGCAGCAGCCAGCAAATTATTAGCAGCAGTAATAGCATGGATATCTCCAGTCAAATGAAGGTTGAACTACAGATTGAAGATGAATTACAAGAATTTATTTTACACACTTCACTAATTTAGTACAGATTAATGAAAACAATCACTGCTTGTTCCGTTTTGGGACTACAGATCAGATCAGCCATTTAGCAGTGTTGCTAAAATATTATGATTAGACAGACTGAAAATGTAACAAGCCAAATGAATTTACTTGGTCTCAGCTCAGTGTTTGAGAGGCTACAGTCAACAAGACAAAAACAAAACACAGATACAATTTGCCTTCACCCAAATGACCCGAGAATGGAATCTAATGTGCTGACCACAACTCTGACACATGCACTTTTAAGTTCAAAGTCAAATGTAATGGAGTATCAAAACTTGGAATCAGATCATCATCAGCCTTTGACTAGCTGAAAATTTTAAAGTTTCATTTCCTTCCACACTTTGTTTCTCTCAAAATCATTGTTCACTCCAATTATATAGGAAAGTTGAAAGCATGTGGTGGAGGAAAGGGAAGGTATGCTGATTTTATTTATTTACCATGGAGAAAGAAAGATGTTCAAAGGAAATTATAAAAATTATGATTTACTGATATGAAATGAGCTAATGGAACCTTTTCTTTGAATTGTCAGTCTTACACTTCAAAGATGTATCCAAAATCATAGAGTAAAATCTCTGGCGTTTTACAGAATGATTAAGTCATCACCCATCTTCACCCTAAAGGATTCAGAATTTTTAGTACAATGATGTGCTGTAAATATTTTAACAAGACGCTCCTATAAAACTGTTCTCTCTTAATTAATGATAAACTCACATCAAAGGGGTTGCACACATTCAGTAAGAATGGAAGTGACCAAAGAATCTGTTTCACTGCTTTTGTCATTTGAACAATACCTTGTTCATAACAATGAACAAGGAAGATGGAAAAATACTTGGTGAACAAGTGCACTTGTTGGATAAAAGGGAGAGAGATGGACTTTGCTGGAAACATAAATTTAATATTTATATTAAAGTAGTGCCCAGAGGTCCCAATCAGAAACTGGCGTGTGTACTGTGCTTGATGCGGTACAAACCCATATAAAGACAGATCTTTAGTGCAGAGACCTTAACAGTTTAATAGTGACATGGGATGGGTAGCAATAGAGGGACATGTGTATGTATGAGACGATCCTCATCCACCCCCTCAATCTAGCCACTCTGCTTATAAAACATTTATATTTTGCTCCTTAAAAAATACACTAAGTGTATTAATAATACACCACACTGCCCAAGGTGCATTATTTGAGGAAGAGTAAATACCTTAGTGAGACTGGTTGTATCTTCCCCAGTGAAAATATTTTGAAAGTACTCCACACATGGAGCAATCTGGTCTATTTAAAAGGCTAGCATATGTTCTTCAGAAGTATTTGAGGCCCAGGGATAAAGTCATCTTTGGCAAAGATTAATTTGCAGTTGCTAGCTAGATGAACTCAACCAGAGGCAGAAAAAAAAAATCCTTTCATTTTGTGAGGGGGACACTTTAATATGAGACACTCATGCACGATTATTTTGGAATCAAATTAATTTCCCTTTTATTTTCCTGATGTTCATCAAAAGCTCCTAACTTTTGGGATGTTTTCTCAAAACAGTTACAGTAAGGTATCATTAGAGAGTGGCCATCCTAGTTGAACATAATGTAATTTGGCTACCGTTAGTGGAAGGACTTTTGCTCCAAATAAATAAGAAATCTGAATTTAAAATTAAATCATTTCTTGAAACTACTGTGCCTCTCTGTTCCTGCCCTCATCCGCAGAAAAGAAATAGATATTCACACCTTTTGTAACAGAGATATATAGACAAGAAACACTTAGCAACAGCAGGCCAGATACGATTGTTTCTCCTTGTACCTTATTCACAGCTAGCAGACTTTCTTCAGTACACCGGAAATCGGGTAGTGTTTGAATAATAGCTGGGACTTCATGCAACATGCTTTAACACCCACAGTCTATTGGCATTTTTTCTAGGCTTCATATTTATTGTTCATGTAATTCAGAGTTTATTTTTGACTGGGTCTATAACCACAGCTCTAGAATTGAAGCAGCTGCCAATTGTTACAATTGGAAAATTCTATTCACTCCCTAGTAGAAGACCATGAAAGCCAGCCTTCTCCATAACAGTGATGGAGAGCCTGAACTCTCAGTGATTGGACGAGGAAGGCAATCCCTCTATCCCACTTTACCCTCTGACATGAACATATGCTTTAAGTGCTTTTCTGGATCATGTCCATAGTTGGCTGCCTGCACACATGCCTTACCCTGAGAGCACAGGGGAGCAGCTGGTAATGGTCTTTTTTCCATCTTTTGTCTTACCTCTTCCATTGGAATGACTTGAGCATATCCACCTCCAGCAGCCCCACCTGAGCAATTAAGCACATGGTCATGTCAGATTCATACCAATTCCGAAATAACCCTTAAACACACAAAAAATAAAGTACACAGCTTTGATATTTAAATATAATCAATATTTTAATTTCTATTACAGAAATCACTCAACCACTGGAACAAAAAAAGTGTATTAATAATAAAAGCCATCAGCAGTTAGACAGTGATCTCAGTGATGAATGCTACCTACCTTGTAAAGCAAAATCTGGCAATGAATTTGGGTACGTTTAAGATTCTCCCTCAAGGTTAATTAATTTAATTACTAAACCTGAAGACGACACAGGATGCACCAAAGAAGGAATTAAATCCTGACCTTGAATGCCTATTTTCATCACTTTACTTGACAAACATCTCAGACTACCATCTACGTTTTGCAGCATTGTTGCACTTGTTTACACAGTAATTTAAACAAACTTAGAGCCCTATAAGTTAGAGATGGTAAAAACTCATTAGAACATTCAATCCATCTCCTTGCTAGTTCAATATTGTCTCCTGCATTATGTTTTCTAGCGTTTTGTATGTATCGCTTCTTCCCATTCAAGGCTCTTACAAGAGGCCTGCAAGTATCAGTCATGCTTGTCAGGAAAACCGACACCTTCCAGCCAAACTACACTTCAATAAAACAACTAAGAAGTTGAAAACAAACAAACTAAACCCAAATGCAGTATTTCCTTCTGATATGAAAACGGAAGTAAGTTTTGCAAACACTAAGTACCTTTAACTCCAAAAGTAGGTCCCTGGGAAGGTTGTCTCAGACATGCAAAGGAATTCACATTAAGATGTGCAGTTAGAGCTTGAACAAGACCAATCGTGACAGTGCTTTTCCCCTCTCCAAGAGGTGTAGGTGTTATCCTAACAAAACAAAGAGAAAAGATTTATCAGGATCTCTACTGATAACTGAAACAAGGATATCAAAACTTATGTCTTTTTATTTGAAGTAAGAGTATTTGTACAATGACTTTCAACAAGATTGCATTATTGCCACAATACCTGTTATCCCTAGCTAAAGTTGGAATGGTGACTTACATGTGTCGTCCATGTGAGTTATTTACTAGGACAGCAGAAAAATAGGGTATTTTGGCAGAAGTTCTGAAGACTATTGAATTTTCTATACATTTCATTTAGACACAAAAGTCTCAGTCGCATGAACAAGTCACGCATCAAACAACTGAGCATGCAATTGAACCTATTGTGTTGTAAATCATGGAATTTTTTAATTTCCTATTGCTCAATGCATAAATAAAATACTATTTAATTTTTCATTAAAACAGCACAGATTTTGTTTGAAAGTCTTTACTTGTTCTTTAACTTCCATGTCCTCTCTCAGCAACAATGTAAGACAGGAAGAATTATTTAAAACAACAACAAAAAACTGGAACCAACTATAGTCACTATGTTCAGTTAAACATGATGATGTTCTCTCACAGTTTTGCAGATTTAGAGCCCAGAAGGGACCATTATGATCATGTAGTCTGACCTCCTACATAACATAGGTCAAAGATTTCATGCTTAGATTCTTGCATCTAGCCCAAAAACTTGTCTGTGCACTACTACAGCATTTATATTTTAGAAAGAAAAGGAGGACTTGTGGCACCTTAGACACGAACAAATTTATCTGAGCATAAGCTTTTGTGAGCTACAGCTCACTTCATCGGATGCATTCAGTGGAAAATACAGTGGAAAATTATATACACAGAGAACATGAAACAAATGGGTGTTATCATATACACTGTAACGAAAGCGATCAGGTAAGGTGAGCTATTACCAGCAGGAGAGCAAGGTGGAGGGGGAGGGAATAAACATCGGGAAATAGTTTTACTTTGTGTAATGACCCATCCACTCCCAGTCTTTATTCAAGCCTAAGTTAATTGTATCCAGTTTGCAAATTAATTCCAGTTCAGCAGTCTCTCGTTGGAGTCTGTTTTTGAAGTTTTTTTGTTGAAGAATTGCCCCTTTTAGGTCTGTAATCGAGTGACCAAAGAGATTGAAGTGTTCTCCAACTGGTTTTTGAATGTTCTAATTCTTGACATCTGATTTGTGTCCATGTATTCTTTTACATAGAGACTTTACAAAAACTAGACAAGCCATTTACAACACACACTTTGCTTCTCTACAAAAGAAAAAGGACACTAAACTATCTAAACTACTACATGCCACAAGGGGCCACAACAGTGGTTCCCTTAACCCACCCAGCAATATTGTTAATCTATCCAACTATACTCTTAGCTCAGCAGAAGAATCTGTCCTATCTCGGGGCCTCTCCTTCTGCCCCTCCACCCCCACGAACACACCTCTAAACAACATACTAACCCACAGAGACCTTCCTACCAAGACTACAAAAAGAAGGATTCTGGGTGGACTCCTCCTGAAGGTCGAAACAACAGACTGGACTTCTACATAGAGTGCTTCCGCCGACGTGCACAGGCTGAAATTGTGGAAAAGCAGCATCACTTGCCCCATAACCTCAGCCATGCAGAACACAATGCCATCCACAGCCTCAGAAACAACTCTGACATCATAATCAAAAAGGCTGACAAAGGAGGTGCTGTCATCATCATGAATAGGTCATCATGAACAACAGGCTGCTAGGCAGCTCTCCAACACCATTTTCTACAAGCCATTACCCTCTGATCCCACTGAGGGTTACCAAAAGAAACACCATTTGCTCAAGAAACTCTCTGAAAAAGCACAAGAACAAATCCGCACAGACACACCCCTGGAACCCTGACCAGGGGTATTTTATCTTCTACCCAAGATCCATAAACCTGGAAATCCTGGATGCCCCATCATCTCAGGCATTGGCACCCTAACAGCAGGATTGTCTGGCTATGTAGACTCCCTCCTCAGGCCCTATGCTACCAGCACTCCTAGCTATCTTCGGGACACCACTGACTTCCTGAGGAAACTACAATCCATCGGTGATCTTCCTGAAAGCACCATCCTGGCCACTATAGATGTAGAAGCCCTCTACACCAACCTTCCACACAAAGATGGACTACAAGCCGTCAGGAACACTAACCCCAATAATGTCATGGCAAACCCGGTGGCTGAACTTTGTGACTTTGTCCTCACCCATAACTATTTCACATTTGGGGACAATGTATACCTTCAAATCAGCAGCACTGCCATGGGTGCCCTCATGGACCCAAGGTATGCCAACATTTTTATGGCTGAATTAGAACAATGCTTCCTCAGCTCTCGTCCCCTAATGCCCCTACTCTACTTGCGCTACATTGATGACATCATCATCTGGACCCATGGATCTATCTGGCTTTAAGATTAAACTCGATAAGTTTATGGAGGAGATGGTATGATGGGATAATATGGTTTTGGTAATTAAATATTCATGGTAAATAGGCCAAATGGCCTGTGATGGGATGTTAGATGGGGTGGGATCTGAGTAACCCAGGAAAGAATTTTCTGTAGTATCTGGCTGGTGAATCTTGCTCATATGCTCAGGGTTTAGCTGATCACCATATTTGGGGTCAGGAAGGAATTTTCCTCCAGTGCAGATTGGAAGAGGCCCTGGAGGTTTTTCGCCTTCCTCTGTAGCAGGGGGCACAGGTCACTTGCTGGAGGATTCTCTGCTCCTTGAAGTCTTTAAACCACGATTTGAGGACTTCAATAGCTCAGACATAGGTGAGAGGTTTTTCGCAGGAGTGGGTGGGTGAAATTCTGTGGCCTGCGTTGTGCAGGAGGTCGGACTAGATGATGATAATGGTCCCTTCTGACCTTAGTATCTATGAATCTATGGAAAAGAAGCCCTTGAGGAATTCCACCATGATTTCAACAATTTCCATCCCACCATCAACCTCAGCCAGTCCACACAAGAGATCCACTTCCTGGACACTATGGTGCTAATAAGCGATGGTCATATAAACACCACCCTATAACGGAAACTTACTGACTGCTATGCCTACCTACATCCCTCCAGCTTTCATCCAGATCACATGATCCATTGTCTACAGCCAAGCTCTACGATACAACGGTATTTGCTCCAACCCCTCAGACAGAGACAAACACCTACAAGATCTCTATCAAGCGTTTTTACAACTACAGTACCCACCTGCTGAAGTGAAGAAACAGATGGACAGAGCCAGAAGAGTACCCAGAAGTTACCTACTACAGGACAGGCCCAACAAAGAAAACAGCAGAACGCCACTAGCCATCACTTTCAGCCCCCAACTAAAACTTCTCCAACTCATCATCAAGGATCTACAACCTATCTTGAAGGACAACCCATCAGTCTCACAGATCTTGGGAGACAGGCCAGTCCTTGTTTACAGACAGCCCCCCAACCTGAAGCAAAGACTCATCAGCAACCACACACCACACAACAGAACCACTAACCCAGGAACCTATCCTTGCAACAAAGCCTGTTGCCAACTGTGTCCACATATCTATTCAGGAGACACCATCATAGGGCCTAATCACATCAGCCACACTATCAGAGGCTCGTTCACCTGCACATCTACCAACGTGATATATGCCATCATGTGCCAGCAATGCCCCTCTGCCATGTACATTGGCCAAACTGGACAGTCTCTACGTAAAAGAATAAATGGACACAAATCAGATGTCAAGAATTACAACATTCAAAAACTAGTTGGAGAACACTTCAATCTCTTTGGTCACTCAATTACAGACCTAAAAGTGGCAATTCTTCAACAAAAAAAACTTCAAAATCAAACTCCAATGAGAGACTGCTGAATTGGAATTAATTTGCAAACTGGATACCGTTAACTTAGGCTTGAATAAAGACTGGGAGTGGATGGGTCATTACACAAAGTAAAACTATTTCCCCATGTTTATTTCCCCCTCTTCCCGCTCCCCCCCCCTCCCACTGTTCCTCAGATGTTCTTGTCAACTACTGGAAACGGCCCACCTTGATTATCACTACAAAAAGTTTCCCCTTCCCCCCGCTCTCCTGCTGGTAATAGCTCACCTCACCTGATCACTCTCATTACAAAAGGAAGGGATCAAAAGGAATACTACAACACTGTGCCTCGCATAGTGAAAATCTTTCTTAACCAATCCCTATAGTGTTGTCCCTAAATTTCTGCACAAATCCAAAGACACTCAAAGCTAACTGAAAAGGAGTACTTGTGGCACCTTAGAGACTAACCAATTTATTTGAGCATAAGCTTTCATGAGCTACAGCTCACTTGCTTATGCTCAAATAAATTGGTTAGTCTCTAAGGTGCCACAAGTACTCCTTTTCTTTTTTGCGAATACAGACTAACATGGCTGTTACTCTGAAACCTGTCAAAGCTAATTGTTTCAGATAAATGTGGCTTTGGGGTGTACTCTTCTCTTGATGCAAGCAGATGGCTTCCATTAGCAACAGTGGAAGTTCTGTGAACATTTTCTGAGAATACTACACTTTTTAGCGATAAAAGATTAAGTGAAATGAAAGATGCCCAGTTTATAGATGTCCCTCCTACCGTCAGTTCAAAACCTTTGGCTATTTCCATCTTACTTGAAAAAAGAAAAGAAAAGGTTACTCACCTTGTGCGGTAACTGTGGTTCTTTGAGATGTCCCCCACTATGGGTCCTCCACTTCAGGTGTGCATGCGCCTTTCGAGTCCTTGACTGGAGATTTTCCACAAGCAGTGCCTGTTCAGGCTGCGCATGTCCTCTATATAACCTCATGCCATGCCCTGAGGGTATTTAGGGGTGCTCTGATGAATCACCCCTCTCAGTTCCTTCTCTATCTGAACGTCCATCAAGATCAGTCTGAAGCAGAAGGGAAGGAGGCTGGGTAGTGGAGTACCCTTTAGGACACCTCTCAAAGAACCCCAGTTACTGCACAGGATGAATAACCTTTTCTTCGAGTAATGTCCCTATGGGTG